ATTCAACTCAACTTTGACACTATCTATGGGAGATACCATCAAGTCTCAACAGTTTCAGGGCTCAGTCCTACAAGACTAACTCCACCCCCTCATGCGCCAGTCATATGTCTAGATTGTCACCTGGGCTTCTGACTTACCAGGCATCTGTTGGAGTCCTACTACCCCCTCCTTGGGTTCAGTTCATTTGCTACAGCTGTGCACAGAATTCAGAGACGCAGTTTACTCATTACATCACTGGTTTATTATAAAAGGATATAACTTGGGAAGAGCCGGATAGAAGAGATGCATGAGGCAAGGTCTGGGGAAAGGGCTATTTTCATGCCCCTTCCAGGTATGCCGCTCCCCTCAAATCTCCATGTTTTCACCCACATAGAAGCTTTCTAAATTGTCCTGTCGGGTTTTTATGGAGGCTTTGTTACATAGGCACGGTCGATTCAGTCATTGGCCATTGATGATTGAACTCCGTATCTGGCCCCTCTTCCCTCCTTGAGGTAGGGCTGCATCACAAGGTTGGTTTCTTGGCACCCAGCCTCCACCCTTACCTGCTTTTCCAAAGTCACCTGGTAACTGTAACAAAAGACACCTTTAATCCCTCTCATCACAGGGGATTCCAAGGGTTTTAAGAGCCCTGTCAGGGGAGGGAGACCAAATATGTATTTATTATAAGTCACAGTATCACGCATACCCTCAGGGTATGTGCATCCTGTCATCTGTCTCAACCAGGAAACCAAATTTCAGGTGGGGGTCTACCCTAACTCAGTGGGATGGCCTAAACCAGATGTATTTTATTGCTGTGTTGTGCATTTGCAGTAAAGCATCCTTCAAACTTACTCTAAGTGTAATGTAACTTGTATTGCAGTCTGATTTTAAGAGAAAAATAAACTTTCTTTGCAAACTTTGGTAGAGCAACAACAAAATGTCTGTTGATGTCTGTATGTTTGCCTTTTCATTAATAATGCATTGTCTTGATGACTACAGGTTTATTACATGTACTAAAGTCAACTATACAATACGTAGTCTTTTCACATTGGCTTCTTTCACTCAGTATTCATGTAAGGTTCCCCCGTGTTCTTTTGTGGCTTGAGACCTCACTTTTTTTTAGCTCTTTGTAGTATTTCATTGCATGGATTACTCCTGTTCACTTATCCATTCACTTATTGAAGGATATGTTGGTTGCTTCCAAGTTTTGGCAGTTATGAGTAAAGTGCTATATGTGATTTTATTATAATTATGAACAAAGTGTAAGGTTTTGTGTAAACACCGAGTGCAGTTGCTGGATTGTATGCTAGGTATATGTTTAGTTTGTAAGAAACTGTCAAACTTGCTTCCAAAGTGGCTGAACCATTTAGCATTTCCACCAGCAACAAATGAGAGTTCCTCTTGCTCCCCATTCTCAGCAGCATTGGGTGTTACCCGTGTAAATTTTTCTCTTTCAGAATTCTTTTGGGTGTCCTAGCTGTGTTGCTTAGGTGTGTAGCTAAGTATCCTTGTCCCTAAGGGCAATGAAAGGCTGTCTGCACCAGTCTGAGTGTGCTCTTGAACTTTGGGAAGGGAAGGGACTCTGACTTTTGTGGCTCTGTTGGATATAGTTATTCCTTTCATTCTCCCACCCTGTCCTGTGGGGAATGGAAGCACCTGAATCCATTGTGTGGGGTTTGGGCAGGGCTCGCTGTGGGAAAGGGAAGATTGTAGGTGGGGCTCTTTGGGCTAATTTAGTGCACTGGTTTTGCTTCTATGTCTGAATATATGTAGAAATCGGTGTGTCATATACTTGTAATTCCCCATCCCACAGGTACCAGAGCAAATTTTCTGAAAGGGAAGTGCCACTTGTAGAATAGTGCTAATACCTTTGAGTTCCCAAACCCTAATGGACCACTCTGAGGTACAAATATTTATGACTAATGATTTTCCTGATTGGAGCCTCGGAAAGAGTTTTAGACACCTCTCCAACTAGCATAACTACCACATGTACCACTTTTGAAAAACAGCCATCAGCTTGCTACTAGGCTCTTGTTAGAACTGTATGTCTGAATCACGGAGGCTGTTAAGGACTGAATCATGTTCCCCTAAAATTATATGTTGAAGCCCTAACCCCAAGTATTTCTTTGGAGACAGGGTCTTTAAGGAGATGACTATGGTTAAATCAGCTCCTTAGGGTGCTCAGAAGGATCACAGATTGGCAGGTTAAAGACACCTGCCGCCCACTGTGGATCTGCAAACCCAGAGGGTGCTGATCAGACCATTTGGATTACTCACGTAGACATTAGTAGTAAGGTCCATGATCCAAAGAGATTGACTGGAATCAGCAGTAGGCTGATGGTCAAGGGATTTGATGGACTTTTTATCCTCCCTACAGTCAGTAGGCATCTAATATTGGATGTAGGGGTGGCCTCTTCTAAAAAAAAAATTACCCCCCTCACCTCCTCCTGGTACGCACAGCTTAGTGAAGGAGTTTGGTTACTGAATGCTGCTGTCCCTAGAAAGGAATCGTCTCCTTTTGGTAATTGTCTGGGTAATGGTCAGGACACAAACAGTGTTGGAGTTGAAGTGACCTTTTTTAAGAACTCAGGATTTCTTCATGACTGTTGCTGGGCATTTTGCTCCTTTATTTCTGTATAGCAACACACTCTGTCCTGTCCAGATCGGCACACCTCCAACTGGCAGCTTAGCTAAGCAGGGTCCTAGAAGAATCAAACTTAATTCTGGTTCAGCCACCGGATCCTCTGGTTGGATTGACGTGGTTCTAGGTCAGGGGTTGGCCAACTGTGGTCCGTGGGCCAAATCTGGTCTTCTGTTTTTGTTAATAAAATGTTGTCTACAATCTGGGGCTCCTTTAATGTTATAGCAGCAGAATTGAGTAGTTGGAACAGGGACAGTATGGACCTCAAAGCGCCAAGTACCTGGCCCTTGAAAAAAGGTGCTAACCGCTGTCCTAGATCAAAGGGCTAATGACCACATGGCTGAGGATACTGCTCACTGACCCAGCATGGGTCAAAGTGTCGGGGGAGGTGAGGAGTCTCTGTACGTTTTATAAAAATATCCTTAACTCTTCTCATACCTGACCCTTGTGGGTGAAAGTACTGGATGTGAGTAGGGGAAAATTGAAAAAAGGTAAAGTGATAGCTAATGGAAAGGAACACACTACTTTTGTGGAGGTGGAGAAGGCCCAGCGCTGACACCTGGGGGAGGAGCCCCTGGACTCGGGGAGGTGTGGAGAGAGGAGGACAGGAGTGATCTTTGTCTTTCAGAGCCCGCCCGGCAGTGTGTATTCATGCCCATGGTCCAGCTTTCCCCTGGAGGCTTTAACGTAGCAATCATAGTCATCCAAGGTCCCGGTCTTATGGTTCTAACGTGTGGGTCACTCTCTCTGTCTCTTGACAATGGATTTTTTTTCCTTTGTGTATCATACATTTTGGCTTAAATGCTAGACATACTGTGAAGGGCCATAGAAACTGAGGTCAATAGTGTTTATGCCTAGGAACAGGCATGTTTTTTCTGTCAGGCCATTAGTGTGGGCAGTTGACCTAGGTCAGAGTTTTCTTGTTACCAACATGACCTTCACCTGTCAAGTTCCTCTAGTTGGGCTGCTTTTACCTTGTGCTTAGTATGGGGGCTGGATCATTGGAGGGTTTTGCTGACTGATTTTGCTCTCATTTACCTTGCCATCTCTGCGTGCCAACAGCCTAGGGCAGGTATCACTTCTCCACATCTGTACCTCTCCCTCGATCTTTCACTGCCTCTGCTCATTCCTTGGTGCTGGGCACCTCCTCGAGATGGGCTGGGGGTTCTCTGTGGTCTTGGCCTAGCCTCAGTCTTGGGCAGGCCCTGTACACCTGGTCTCAGGGATGGGGCTTTCGCAGCATCCTCCCCCTGCCCCCGCCCCCATGGTGGTCAGACTGCCACACAGGACCTCTCTGGGTAGTGTGAGGATCAGTAGCCCGAGATGGTGTTCTGCTCCTCCTCCAGAGGTAGAGGTTTTTATCTCTTTTGTTTGTCCAGCACTAATGAATTTTGTGTTCTTACAAATAATTTCCTATCCTTTCCTCGAAGGCAGGCAGGTTATACCTCTGTTCCTTCCCCAGAGGCATGGATCTTGGCCTGAGTTCCATGGGCCAGTGAGTTTCCTGCTCTTCCCTCAGCAACTTAAAGCTTTGCTTCATAGGAGAGAAGAGTCCAAGGAAGAGGCAGGACTTCCTACCTGACCCCTGTCACCCCCAGGCACCTGCTTTATACGTGTGCCACCAGAGTTGACACTCTTCAGTCTTGTTGTCCTGCTCCCCATTTTTCTCCCAAGCACCTGACGGAAGCACCTAGAAAAGAGCTTTCAGGTGCTGTGGACTCTTCTGTGGCAGGACCTTCAGTACTAGCCCATGTTTCAGAATATATTAGCATGTTACCTGAGAGCCACCTCTTTCTCCAGTTCTCTGCCAACAGTAAGCAAATTCATGTGGCCCATCTCTCTTTGGAGGGACTCATCTTTCTTTGGAACTTGGTTTTCATAGTTGCCCTTACAGCCTCAGCTCTGACAGGATCAAGAAGTTACAATTGTTTGCCCTGACCAGTGTGGCTCGGTTGGTTGGGCATCGTCCCAATGTGCCAAGGTTGTGGGTTCAATCCCTGGTCAGGGCACATACAGGAAGCAACCAATGAGTGCATAAATAAGTGGAACAATGAATCAGTGTTTCTCTCCCTCTCTCTTTTTCCTCTCTCCCTTCCTTTCTCTGTAAAATCAATAAATAAAATGTTTTAAAGAAAGAAAAGGGAGAGAGGAGGGTCCCTTCAGTTCCTGGCTCTATCACTTACATCTATAATCTCTGCTAATCACTGTTTTCTCAGTTGTAAAGTGGGAATAATAATAATAATATTTTAACAGATTTGTCAGTGGAGTAGAAAGGTTTAAATGAAATAATGCCTGTAAAAACACTCACAAACTAGAAACTGCTATGTAATAATAATGATCATTATTTTCTAAGATGTCAATTCCTTTTTCCTGCTTTCAGAGACGATCTTCAACAAGACACAGAAATAAGTCCAAGGCAGAATCGTCGCACACGGTCAGAAAGTGCCGAGATGGAGCCGAGAAACAAGCGGAATAAGAATTAGCGTGGGCTCTGGCTGACTTTTCCAGTCAGAATGTGGCACTTTTTCTTGCCGTATAGATTTCATACTCATAAGTGCCCAAGTAAAGGTGTTAAATTCTAAAAACTATTTTTAACTGATTTTTCATTCTTTTCTGCCTTTCTGGGAAAGAAGTAGTTATAAAACATCCTCACTTGGTTAGTTACCTTCTGCCTCTAGAACATCGCTCTCTAAAAATACTAACCTCACATGTTCACCAGCTTTGCAGAGTACACAGACTTTGGCAAAGGTGTTTTGTTTGGCTTTGGTTATAAATTTAAGAATGTCCTTAAGCCATTCTCCTTCTCTTCCATGGAGAAACCAGCCTCAGAAAAGGATTCTCCAACCTTTCTACCACATGGAGCAGTTGAGTTAAGGCCTCTGTATTTAGAAAGACATGATGTCATAACTCATCCTTAGTGTGGGAAGCTCCCGACGCCTGGACACCAGCGTGCACCTTACAGCAGCTACATATGGTCATTGTCCAAGTTTAAGGCAGTTATTTGTCAGACCCGTGTCCAGCACGTTACTTGGATGTTAATATTGTAATGTGAAGTCACAAACAATAAATTTAAAACATACGGGCTTAGTCTTCAGAAATGGCACTGAAAAATGATTATTGTTAGTTTTTCTTTTCACTTGGATGAATTGAATTTTTAACACTTTGAATCCCAGCTATTAAAAAGAATGTGCAATAAATGGATTTTGTAAATGAATAGACTCTATATCAATTTAAAATCATGTGCTTGAAACAGAATCTTGTGAATGAATAGCTGAGTATAAGCTACAAATTATTGGAAGGGGTTGGTTAGAAATGACCTCTGTGCAAAGTGCCCACCCGCTCCCAGTTCCTTCCAGAGCTCCTGATGCCTCTCTTCAGCGTTTGAGTCAGGCTTCACCACCGCCCCCACCGCGCCCACCACCCAACCCAAACACATCAGCTTTCCAACAACATAATAGTGAGTGTGGCGATGTTGGGACGACAGATTTATGAATGTTGCGGGATGTTTGTGACTTTGGCTTTCCAGAGAATGTTTCCATTGACTGGCATTTTGATATGCTCTTAGAGTTTCTGGATAATGTATGGAGTCTCATTATGACTTAGAGTGAAGACACTTAAGTGGCCATTTGTTTTCTTTATGAGTTCCCTGAAGTTCAAATGGTTATGTAAGTATTTGTCAGAGCCATTTTATCTAAAATCACGAGTGGTTCATGAGGGAAACTGCAAGCTGCTGTGCTCACTGAGCGTGTCACAGGACCCGATGTGCCGTGAGTGAGCCGTGGCTGAACACATGGGGTTTAACACTGATGTGATATTTACAGCTGGGCTGCCAGAAGTTATGCTAAAATGAAAACTGCTTGTTTCTGAAAAGTACACAGTCTGTTAAACAGGAAGTAATTACTACTTTAATTGCAGCAAAAGGAGTTTGCAAGGGAGCAATGAGACCCAAGACAGGGAGCCAGGCAAGTGAATTCATTCAGGTAGTACTTGGTTATGTGCTTGGTTAGGGAGCAGTCACCATGGTGAGCACCGGCAGTGCCAAGGGGACCAGAGGCCATCTGAACCTGTGTTCCTCAGTGGGGTGGGGGGAGGAGATTTTTCTTCTCGGGACATTTGGCAGTGTGGAGGCATTTTGGCTGTCACAGCTGTGGGGTTAGGGGGTTGCCACTGATCTGTCAGTGGGTAGAAGGCCAGGGATGCTGCTAAATATCCTGTAACACACAGGTTGACCCCCACGGAGTGTTCGCTGGGCTGCTGTAACCAAGTGTCCCCGACTGAGTGGCTCAATCAAATTTTTTTCCCTCACAGTCCTAGAGAATAGCAGCCCAAGGTCAAGTTGTCAGTGGGGTTGGTTTCTTCTGAGGGCTCTCCCCTGGGCTTACAGATGGCTGCCCTCTCACGTGGTCATCTTTGTTCTCACATCGGTGTCCTGATCCCCTCTTAAAGGAAACCAGTCCATATGGCCTCATTTTACCCTGGTTACCACTTTAAAAACCTCACCTCCAAATGCATTCTATCTGAGGCACTGGAGGTTAGAACTTCAATAACAAGACATTTCGGTGTCTTTAAAATTTGAGTAGCATTTTGGGACCCATAACACCCCACAATAAAGAATCATTCAGTTCATAAAACAGTTGTGCCTGTATACAATGGAATATTACTTGGCCATTAAAAAGGATAAAATCTTACCATTTGTGACAACATGGATGGACCTAGAAGGTATTATGCTAAATGAAGTAAGTCAGAGAAAGACAAATGATTTCATGTATATGTGGAGTCTAAAGAACAAAATAAACTAATAGACTCATGGATGCAGAGCACAGACTGAGGGTTGCTAGAGAGGATGGCTTGGTGAAAAGGTGAAGGGATTAAGAAATACAAGTTGGTAGTTACAAAACTGGGAGGATGTAAAGTACAGCATGAAGAATGTAGTCGATCATGTGCATACTTGAATTATTGGGGGGATTACTTTGTAAGTTACATAATTGTCTAACCAGCATGCCGTTATGTCTGAAATTAATATAAAGTAATATTGAATATCAACTTTAATAAAGATTTTTTATAAAAGAATTACCTGGTTCAAAATGTCATTGGTGCCAAGATTGAAAAACACCTGATGTGAAGGATCTCCCAAGTCTGCTTGAAAAATAAGGCCTAAAGGGCATTTACTGAGCTCTGGTTGTTAACACATAGCATACATGTAATATTTATACACTGTAAGAAAGGTATTTTTATATTTACTTGAGAGTAAGTGTTAGATCCTGGATAGAAACCAATGCACTTCTGATTCCAAACTTCACCTTTTAGGAAAATATGACTCCCATCACTAGTTATTAATTCTTTTGACCTCCTAACTCCCCTCCAGGGTGTAACAGCCACCGTGGGTCTGTCACCTCACGGTGACAGTGATGCTTATGGTCTAGAGGGCACAGGTGAGCGGCTGCGTGTACTTTAGAAAGCATGTGTCTGGGCGGTTCTGATGTGGCAGCCCATCCATTCTTTCTCTGATCCCTTCTGTTTTCTTTATACCCCTCACTGGGAGTCCCTGGTCTAGCTGGAAAAATAATTCACACACATAAGACAGTGTGAGTGATACAGGGAGGACGGTATGTGTTTGAAAACTAATGCATATGGAAAAGATTCACGCCAACGGGGGCGGACAAAATAGTAGGGATTTTTTCCCTTGTAGCCCCTGGCCCTGCAGATGGGGAGGGAGCCCCCGTCCAGACCACCGGATGGGCGCAGTCGGTGTGGGTGAGCGTGCGACTTCACTACCTGTTTTCTCAGCACCGGGGAGAAGGCGGGAACGGTAATATTCTCAGCATCTATCTGATCAAAGAAAATAACAATTCTTTTAATGAGACACTTTTTTTCTATTATGTATTTTTACTATAAAAGTAATTTAATTATGAACATTAGAGGGGGAAATATCATAGCCATTCAATTTATTGCCATTTTGATAACCTTTCTGTGGTTTTAGTTGCAGGGCGTTTCAGATGTCTCTAGTGATAACCATGTGAGGCTGCAAACAGGTCACTAGGTGGATGCCCCCATGTTACTGATTTCATATCCCCATCTACACTCGGGCTTTGTGGGGCATTTCCACATCCCTTCGTGATATGGCCGGTGTCCCCGGCCTCAGACTATTGAGAAGACAGGAACAAGTCCATGCCTGAATCACATTGCTGCTCTCACAGGCCCTGCTGGGCTTCTGCCACCCTGGCCAGTGCTCTGGCATACACACCGCTGCTGGTCCTGCCCACGTTCTGCCTCGCCTGGGGCACCGTCTCCTGACACTTCCCTGAGGTACGAACCTGCCAGGTGCCGAGGAATCCCCGCCTCCGGTTGGTTTCTCTGATTCTTGGGCTTTCAGTGTTCCAACTGGAAACAATGAGTGCTTTCCCAGACTATAGTGGGTTGTCACTGGACCCACAGTGTCCCTCATAAGAATTTACTTTTCTCTCTTTGTCCTTTCCTCCTTTTACCCCTTCTCCCTCTTTTTATCCCCCCCGCCTTTCCTCTTACCCCTCCACTCTCCTTTCCGTGCCTTCTCTCAACTATCATGACTTCATGTCAAGTAGTGTGCAAAACAAAATGAACCTTGCCCTAGTGGAATTTGTAGACCCGAAAGGGAGATACATATCGATCAAATAATTACACAAGTTACAGTTGTGATAGGTGCAACAAAGCAGAGGTGCATGTCCATATGAAAGCATGCAGTAAAGGGATTTCATTTTTGCCCATACTCTGTAGGGAGGTTGCAGATCAGTCCAAGGTTATGTTAATGACCATATTCCCTCCTTATCCTCTGTGTCTCCCATTCCCAGGAACCTGTGCACCTATCTTCTACCTCCTTTGGTGCAAACTACAAAACATTAAAATGCTCATGAAAGTCATCTCAGGCAAATAGGTGCCTATGCGTCCACTGCACAACTATGTTAGACATCCTGGATGAGTCAGAATTTAGTATGACTTAGCCAGTACTAACTTCTCCATACTAAATATACACACACTGTGCTTTCATCAATTCTTTTTCTTTCATTTTTTTTTAAAGATTTTATTTCTTTTCAGAAAGAGGAGAAGAGAGGGGAACATTGGTGTTCAAGAGAAACATTGATCAACTGCCTCTCACATGCCCCCAACTGGGCACCCAGCCCGCCACCCAGGCACTTGCCCTTGACTGGGAATCAAATCCATGACCCTTCAGTTCACAGGCCTGCTCTTAATCCACTGATCCATACTAGCCAGGACCATCATTTTATCACAAAAACACTTTCATAGTACATTATCAATACTCTTTAATGATTGCATCATGGATCTATCTGGGTCATGTACCACATTTGCACAGTCTCCTGTTCTTGGACACTTAAGTTACTTCCAGTTATTTGCAAGTTTTTAATAATAGAATTACTTTCTTAGTTTGTGGGGGGTTGGGGGGGCTCTGCCCACAGGGCCCCCCCGGCCACCATGGATGAGAATAAGTCTACCAAGACATGATCTGCTTGGGGAGGAAAGGCTGACCAGTCTCTCAGAGGAGTCAAGCCTCTCTCTCAGTGGGTTTTTATTGAGTTTAGCTTGCATAGGGATGCATATCAAAGAAAGGAGGTATGATTTACAAATAACCTTTCTGGGATCACGGGGGTCCTTTTGAGTCAGGGTCTGGTAGGGTAATGTCAATTGGCTGTAAAACTTTGGGAAACAAACTTATTTTTTGCTTGGACTCTTATCATTTAAATTGAGGATATTCTTAGCAAAACAGATTTCACAGGATTTTATGCATTCTTTCTTAGGCCTGATCGCCTCCCCACCCCCCACCGGGAACTGCCCATTGGGCACAGGGCTGCACCTCCCTTTGGCATTATTTCAGGCTTGAATCATGTGGTGGAAGCAAGGCAGCCAAGAGATTAGGAGACTTTTTAGATAGAATGAGGACTCAGGCTATGATAAAGCCGAGGGGTGAGGGTCTTTTGTCCCTCTTCCACAATCCCCTAAATCCTTCCCTGATGGCCCCTTCATGACTGTGCCTGTCTTAGGTTGCTCTTCCCTCGAGGAATCTTGACTCATAACTGACTATCCAGCCATCCTCCAGGGACCAAGCAAGGTGAAGTAAAGGGGACAGGCTGCGCCCCTGCAGGAAGGGTAAGTTTTGTCTCCTTAGGTGCTAATGGTCCCAAGGTCCCCTAGCCATGGAGCCTTCTCACCTGTCAGTG